CCCAATGCTACTAGATCCTTTGCTTCCTCAACCTGGGGCTGGATGGGTTCACCAATGCCACTCAGGACTCCATCACCGCCAAGTGAGTTGATTCTTGAAGCTATGTTACCTGAGGCTACTTACGAGCCCCAATGCTACTAGATCCTTTGCTTCCTCAACCTGGGGCTGGATGGGTTCACCAACGCCACTCAGGATTCCATCACTGCCAAGTGAGTTGATTCTTGAAGCTATGCTACCTGAGGCTACTTACGAGCCCCAATGCTACTAGATCATTTGCTTCCTCAACCTGGGGCTGGATGGGTTTACCAATGCCACTCAGGATTCCATCACCGCCACCAAGTGAGTTGATTCTTGAAGCTATGTTACCTGAGGCTACTTACGAGCCCCAATGCTACTAGATCCTTTGCTTCCTCAACCTGGGGCTGGATGGGTTCACCAACGCCACTCAGGACTCCATCACCGCCAAGTGAGTTGATTCTTGAAGCTATGTTACCTGAGGCTACTTACGAGCCCCAATGCTACTAGATCCTTTGCTTCCTCAACCTGGGGCTGGATGGGTTCACCAATGCCACTCAGGACTCCATCACCGCCAAGTGAGTTGATTCTTGAAGCTATGTTACCTGAGGCTACTTACGAGCCCCAATGCTACTAGATCCTTTGCTTCCTCAACCTGGGGCTGGATGGGTTCACCAACGCCACTCAGGATTCCATCACTGCCAAGTGAGTTGATTCTTGAAGCTATGCTACCTGAGGCTACTTACGAGCCCCAATGCTACTAGATCATTTGCTTCCTCAACCTGGGGCTGGATGGGTTTACCAATGCCACTCAGGATTCCATCACCGCCACCAAGTGAGTTGATTCTTGAAGCTATGTTACCTGAGGCTACTTACGAGCCCCAATGCTACTAGATCCTTTGCTTCCTCAACCTGGGGCTGGATGGGTTCACCAACGCCACTCAGGACTCCATCACCGCCAAGTGAGTTGATTCTTGAAGCTATGTTACCTGAGGCTACTTACGAGCCCCAATGCTACTAGATCCTTTGCTTCCTCAACCTGGGGCTGGATGGGTTTACCAATGCCACTCAGGATTCCATCACCGCCACCAAGTGAGTTGATTCTTGAAGCTATGTTACCTGAGGCTACTTACGAGCCCCAATGCTACTAGATCCTTTGCTTCCTCAACCTGGGGCTGGATGGGTTCACCAACGCCACTCAGGACTCCATCACCGCCAAGTGAGTTGATTCTTGAAGCTATGTTACCTGAGGCTACTTACGAGCCCCAATGCTACTAGATCCTTTGCTTCCTCAACCTGGGGCTGGATGGGTTCACCAACGCCACTCAGGACTCCATCACCGCCAAGTGAGTTGATTCTTGAAGCTATGTTACCTGAGGCTACTTACGAGCCCCAATGCTACTAGATCCTTTGCTTCCTCAACCTGGGGCTGGATGGGTTCACCAACGCCACTCAGGACTCCATCACCGCCAAGTGAGTTGATTCTTGAAGCTATGTTACCTGAGGCTACTTACGAGCCCCAATGCTACTAGATCCTTTGCTTCCTCAACCTGGGGCTGGATGGGTTCACCAACGCCACTCAGGACTCCATCACCGCCAAGTGAGTTGATTCTTGAAGCTATGTTACCTGAGGCTACTTACGAGCCCCAATGCTACTAGATCCTTTGCTTCCTCAACCTGGGGCTGGATGGGTTCACCAACGCCACTCAGGACTCCATCACCGCCAAGTGAGTTGATTCTTGAAGCTATGTTACCTGAGGCTACTTACGAGCCCCAATGCTACTAGATCCTTTGCTTCCTCAACCTGGGGCTGGATGGGTTCACCAACGCCACTCAGGACTCCATCACCGCCAAGTGAGTTGATTCTTGAAGCTATGTTACCTGAGGCTACTTACGAGCCCCAATGCTACTAGATCCTTTGCTTCCTCAACCTGGGGCTGGATGGGTTCACCAACGCCACTCAGGACTCCATCACCGCCAAGTGAGTTGATTCTTGAAGCTATGTTACCTGAGGCTACTTACGAGCCCCAATGCTACTAGATCCTTTGCTTCCTCAACCTGGGGCTGGATGGGTTCACCAACGCCACTCAGGACTCCATCACCGCCAAGTGAGTTGATTCTTGAAGCTATGTTACCTGAGGCTACTTACGAGCCCCAATGCTACTAGATCCTTTGCTTCCTCAACCTGGGGCTGGATGGGTTCACCAACGCCACTCAGGACTCCATCACCGCCAAGTGAGTTGATTCTTGAAGCTATGTTACCTGAGGCTACTTACGAGCCCCAATGCTACTAGATCCTTTGCTTCCTCAACCTGGGGCTGGATGGGTTCACCAACGCCACTCAGGACTCCATCACCGCCAAGTGAGTTGATTCTTGAAGCTATGTTACCTGAGGCTACTTACGAGCCCCAATGCTACTAGATCCTTTGCTTCCTCAACCTGGGGCTGGATGGGTTCACCAACGCCACTCAGGACTCCATCACCGCCAAGTGAGTTGATTCTTGAAGCTATGTTACCTGAGGCTACTTACGAGCCCCAATGCTACTAGATCCTTTGCTTCCTCAACCTGGGGCTGGATGGGTTCACCAACGCCACTCAGGACTCCATCACCGCCAAGTGAGTTGATTCTTGAAGCTATGTTACCTGAGGCTACTTACGAGCCCCAATGCTACTAGATCCTTTGCTTCCTCAACCTGGGGCTGGATGGGTTCACCAACGCCACTCAGGACTCCATCACCGCCAAGTGAGTTGATTCTTGAAGCTATGTTACCTGAGGCTACTTACGAGCCCCAATGCTACTAGATCCTTTGCTTCCTCAACCTGGGGCTGGATGGGTTCACCAACGCCACTCAGGACTCCATCACCGCCAAGTGAGTTGATTCTTGAAGCTATGTTACCTGAGGCTACTTACGAGCCCCAATGCTACTAGATCCTTTGCTTCCTCAACCTGGGGCTGGATGGGTTCACCAACGCCACTCAGGACTCCATCACCGCCAAGTGAGTTGATTCTTGAAGCTATGTTACCTGAGGCTACTTACGAGCCCCAATGCTACTAGATCCTTTGCTTCCTCAACCTGGGGCTGGATGGGTTCACCAACGCCACTCAGGACTCCATCACCGCCAAGTGAGTTGATTCTTGAAGCTATGTTACCTGAGGCTACTTACGAGCCCCAATGCTACTAGATCCTTTGCTTCCTCAACCTGGGGCTGGATGGGTTCACCAACGCCACTCAGGACTCCATCACCGCCAAGTGAGTTGATTCTTGAAGCTATGTTACCTGAGGCTACTTACGAGCCCCAATGCTACTAGATCCTTTGCTTCCTCAACCTGGGGCTGGATGGGTTCACCAACGCCACTCAGGACTCCATCACCGCCAAGTGAGTTGATTCTTGAAGCTATGTTACCTGAGGCTACTTACGAGCCCCAATGCTACTAGATCCTTTGCTTCCTCAACCTGGGGCTGGATGGGTTCACCAACGCCACTCAGGACTCCATCACCGCCAAGTGAGTTGATTCTTGAAGCTATGTTACCTGAGGCTACTTACGAGCCCCAATGCTACTAGATCCTTTGCTTCCTCAACCTGGGGCTGGATGGGTTCACCAACGCCACTCAGGACTCCATCACCGCCAAGTGAGTTGATTCTTGAAGCTATGTTACCTGAGGCTACTTACGAGCCCCAATGCTACTAGATCCTTTGCTTCCTCAACCTGGGGCTGGATGGGTTCACCAACGCCACTCAGGACTCCATCACCGCCAAGTGAGTTGATTCTTGAAGCTATGTTACCTGAGGCTACTTACGAGCCCCAATGCTACTAGATCCTTTGCTTCCTCAACCTGGGGCTGGATGGGTTCACCAACGCCACTCAGGACTCCATCACCGCCAAGTGAGTTGATTCTTGAAGCTATGTTACCTGAGGCTACTTACGAGCCCCAATGCTACTAGATCCTTTGCTTCCTCAACCTGGGGCTGGATGGGTTCACCAACGCCACTCAGGACTCCATCACCGCCAAGTGAGTTGATTCTTGATGCCCAAGGCTACTTCTGAGTGAACTCAAAAGTCACGAGCCCCAATGCTACTACTACACCCTCTGCTTCTTCAACCCGAAGCTGCCTGAGTTGGAGACCTCTCATGACTGGGAAAGCATGTCCGAGCCTCAATTCCCTCGTGCTTCGATCACCTTATACTGCACCACACGCCCCTGTTGCCCCAAACCCCTTTCCAGGTATCCATTCACTGCCACGTACCATCTGATGCTGGGCATGAACATATGGGGCACACTCTACATGGCAATCTACATGTTTGCCTGGCCGGGCGGCGGCGGCATGGCAGCCATCGACTTTTGCCGCACTCACCCCGAAGCTGCCGTGGACGTGTTCCTCTTCTGCCTCTGCGGCGCCGTCGGGCAGAACTTTATTTTTCTGACCATCAACAAGTTTGGCGCGCTGGTCAACACGACCATCACCACGACTCGGAAATTCATGAGTATTTTGATCTCGGCCGTGTGGAATGGAAATCCGCTTACAGGGCAGCAGTGGGCGGGTGTGGGGATGGTCTTTGCCGGGTTGAGCTATCAGATTTATCTCAAGTGGCGGAAATCCAAGGGTAAGAAGAAGCGGGCGGGATCGGATTTGGGAGCGGCGGCGGCGCGAAAGGAGGTGGCTGGTGAGGAGAAAGAGGCGCTGATGGGAAACGGCGAGAGGAAGAAGAGTAGGTGATGTATTTGAGGGGCTCTTTGGCTTCATGATGGAGAGAAAGAGAGTCATTTAACATACGGTAAATGATCTGCAATAACAAGAAGAGAGTCACTTGACTATACTGCAGCTTTATGTAACTGGCATGTGTCTGTTCACCTGTGGTTGAATACTTATGATCATCATTATACACTACATATACACCACTGCCAACTGGCTCAAAAGAAGCAGGCAGGGATTCATAGAAGGCTGAACTTGAGGAATGATACTGGTAGGCACTTGCTCGACAATCAGGATTGCGAGAGCAGAAGCAGCTGGGGTGCCTGAAACAGAGTGACGTCATCCAGAATCCCCCTCAGGGCCTCCATTGCTGCCCTCAGTCGCACGTTACACCTCTTGATTTGCTGTTGTGGAAGGGGAGAGCGATTTGGGATTTCATACGATGCAGGAGGTGCACAGAGGGGAACAGCAGAGGGGGGTGTGTGAGTGCCATTGTCTGATATCCCCCTCAGGGCCTCCATTGCTGCTCTCAGTCGCATGTTACACCTCTTGATTTGCTGTTGTGGAAGGGGAGAGTGGTTCAAAGTCACGTGAAGCACGAGCAAAGTGGGGAAGAGAAGAGGGGTTGGTGAGTGACTGAGACACATGTTACCCCCCTCAGAGCCTCCGTTGCTGCTCTCAGCCGCGCGTTACACCTCTGTATTTGCTGTTTTGTGGGAGGGGAGAGAGTGGGAGAGGGGAGAGGAGAAAATGTACAGGAAAGGTAGCATCGTACATGGTCCATCACCCATCGCCCATCATCCTTCACTCATCAACCATCCCGCACCACCCACCATCAATTCCCCATCACCCACCACCCACCATCCACCACTGCGTTTAGCTGCCTCTTCAGATGCCCTCACACACGTCCCTTAAGGTTCTTCTGCTAATTTGATTAATTTTATTTGCTTAATTCTCAGTCAACTCCTCAGTGTTATGTCAGTGAACGCACCTTTCTCAGGGTCGCTGCTCGTGCAGTCAACTCCTCTACTGACGGCGACTCGTGTGCTGCAAGCGCCTCAGGTGCCGCTTCAGGAGCTTCTTCAGGTGCTGCGTGGTCATGTGCAGCATCAGGTGCAGAAAGCCCTGGGTCAGGGCCCTGTTGAGTTCCTTCCCTGTCGTTCCCTGGCCGGCCGGCCTGCTTTGTCCCTTTCTCCATCTCTTCCTGCAGCCGCAGAAGCAGGGACCGGAGCTCTGACGAGATGTTCTTATAGCGAAGGTGAGCCATTTCAATGGCGGCTGCTGCCGCATCCGGCGGCAATCCCGAGGTCCGCCGCTGCTGCTGCTCTTGCTGATGCAGCTGCTGCTCAGAGCTTGCACTGCCAGCGCCTGCTGTTTCGGAAGAAGCTTCCCAGAAGGCGCCGTTGCACATGACGAGGTTCAGCGTGGACAGCACGCCTTCCGCGGCTTCGACCAATCGCTGTGTCCCTTCCTCCCCGCGCCGCGTCAGCGACACGACCAGGTCTTCTTCGCTGCTGCGGCTCGGGCTCTCGCGCTCCGGACATCCTGTATCTGCCGCGTCGTCCGCCTCCTGTGGCTCTCGTTGCTCGCGCGCCGTCGCTGTTTGCGGAGACGACAAATCGTCCGCGTTTGGTGCCGCGGGATCTGGTGGACACATCGCCGTTGCATTGCGGGTCGAGTCGGCGTCTATGTCCATAGCGTCTGCCATGATTTGTTCACAGAGTAACGAAAGAGAGCACTCAGTAAGAGTCACTCGATTGTAGTAATTGTCTCGCTGGCACAGACTGAACTGAATATTAGGGCGGGGTCAGCGTGTTCGTTTACAGTTTCAGTACAGTTCATTCTGAGCGGTTCCTCTTGTTTCGTCACGGTTTAGAATGGTTCAAATGTCTAACCGCTCTAAACCAGCTGGAATCGTTGTGCACCATGACGGATGAACTGTACAGCTATGAAAATTAACGCGGGCGTGGCTTCCCTTTTTGCTAGTCACCCTACCCAGACGCTCTAGAAACTGTAGGAACCGATACGAAACACACCGCACATGCATCAAGGCACCAAATGTGGATCCTTTAGCCTGCTAGGCAAATGACTCCCACCCGCATTTCTGAAATATGTAGCGAAAACTTTCGCTTCGCCAAAGCAAAAGTAGCGGGGAAGCCCTTCGCTCCCAATGTGGTCATTCGCGCAACCCTCGTGTTCACCTACGGAAATGCAATGTGCGATTTGCATTTTGCAAATCTCCAGCATCCGTCGCAAACCTTTCAATCCCCCAACTTCCTCCCCCCTTCTTCGGGGCTCCCTCCCTCCTATCTGCCTTCGTCCCCGCCGTCACTTGAAGCATGCCCATACCTCCCTTTTCACGAAGGTAAACAGCTAGTGATCCTGTATCAGCCGCAAATGCGTTCCATTTACAATAAGCTAAACGACATTACAATGGAGAACCAGCAACAATGGAGAAGGAACTAGCACAGCTTCAGTGCTTCAGTGCTTGCTGGGACTAGCTACCAGGAGCCACCCTGGCTTTATTGTACAACACAATTCAGGGCGTCCCAAGGAACTGGTGAAAGGCAAACGAAAGAAGAAAAGTAAGGAAATCGAAAGCTAACACAAAACGAAAGGAGAGGTCCGGACGAAAGTTCTTGAGAGTGGTTGTGCGCAAGGAGAGGTGGCAGCCGATGTCGCAAAGCTTGAGGGCTGGCCACAATGATCGCTTCCCCGTGCAATCACAGCTCCGATATTATCAAAGCCCCTAAATTATTATTACAGCCTTGAGGCAGTCTCTACTAATTCCACCATCTCCGACAGGTCGCGAGCCTTCGCCGCCTCGCGAGCTTTCGCCGCTTCGCCGTGCTCCTCCAGCCACTTGATCGTCACGCTCTTGGGGCGCTCGATCGGCAATCCCAAGGCGCGGTCCCAAATCAGCTGCGACAGCACGCCCATCGCGCGGGACACACCGAACAGCACCGTATAGAAGTTCGACTCGTTAAGCCCGTAATGCGCGAGTAAAATTCCACTGTGCGCGTCGACGTTAGGCCACGGGTTCCTGACTTTCCCCGTCTGCGTCAGCACACCCGGAACGACATCGAACAGGTCAGAAACCAGGTGGAACATGGGATCATCGGGCAGATGCTTTTGTGCGAACTCCCTCTGCGAAATGTATCGCGGATCGGTAACCCGTAGCACCGCGTGTCCGAAACCGGGCACCACTTTCCCCGCCTTGAGCGTCTTCCAAACGAACCCCTCCAGCTGCTCCTTCGTCGGGGTTTCGCCGAGCTCTTCGCGAACCTCGTGAAGCCAATTCAGCACTTCCTGATTGGCCAGCCCGTGCAGCGGGCCCGCCAGACCATTCAGCCCCGCAGCATACGCCAGGTACGGATCGGAAAGAGCCGTGCCGACGAGATGCGTGGTGTGCGCGCTGACATTCCCGCCCTCATGATCCGCGTGAATCGTCAAATAAAGGCGCATGAGCTCGTAAAACCCAGGGTCGTCGAATCCAAGCATGTGCGCAAAATTCGCGGCGTAATCGAGGGTGGGGTCAGCCGGTATCATACGCCCATCCTTGAACACTCGGCGGTAGATAAACGCCGCGATCACCGGTATCCCCGCTATAAGGTTCATCGTGTCCTCGTACACGGGCTCCCAGTAACGAGTCTTGTGCACGGAGCCGGAAGAATAAGCCTTGGCAAACTCGCTGGTGGACTGAAGAGCCGTTACACCAATAGACAGCTGCGACATTGGGTGGAGATGCTTCGGGAGGGAACGAAGCACCGTGAACACGTGATCTGGCACATTCGCCGCGCGCAGCCTCAGCTCCTCCGTGATAGACGCCGCCTGAAGCGACGTCGGAACCTCCCCCGTGATGAGGAGCCATAAGAGCGCCTCGGGAAGCGGCTCGCCGCCGGGTATCGCGGAGGGGAGGAGGCGCTGGCAGTCGGGGATAGACAGGCCGCGGTATTTAATTCCAAGATCTGCGTCGAGGATGGAAGGCTCCCAGATTAGGCCTTTAATTCCACGCATTCCGCCAAGCGCCATGTCGATGGTCGTTTCGCCGAGCGACACGGAGCCATAATTGGTCTTTAAGTTGCGTACGCGGTCGCGTTGGTCCGGTATGAGGTCTTCTAAGCGGCACCGAAGTTCGGAGAGCGGGCGCACGGAGTGGTCGAATCGCTTGGAGAAGGGCGAACTCGATCGCTGGTTCTTGTTGTCGTGGGATGAAGCAAACAGACTGTACACGCGGGCTACGGCCATAGACTGGCCGCCGACGGTCAAATTAAGCCTTGGTATAGAAGCAAAGAAATTCCCTCAACTATGTGGCTTGCGCGTTTGAAAGAGAGAGCGAGAAGCAGTACGGAAAATGCGCTACTTGAGAAAAGCGCCGGCAATGTACAGCTGAGATAGTGGTTGTTTGAGGGAGTGAGCTTGGTAGTAGTGAGGTTTCTGGAACGCGTTCCAGCGCCTTTTATCCTTAGACCCTGAAGAGCAAGGCGCTGCGTGTTTTCGGTGGCGATGGAAATTTGAGGATGCGAGTCGTTCGTTCACTCACAGACGGCCTCCCCCAGCTTCCTGCCCCGGCGAAATTGCACCTGGCTTCGCTGCGTTGCCTCCGCAAAAATGCGCTGTCGTCGAAACGCGTCCCACCTGTCCGCATTTGTGTTCCATCTTGCTTTCGCTGACGCGAGCGGCAATCACGGGCGGAACTGCACCCAACCTTGCTTCGTAAGCTCGCCGCAACTGAGGAAGAGTCGCCAATACGAAACAGCCAGCTGAGCGTCACGTGGAGGAAATAACGGTAACCAGCTATGGTCAGCAGGGTAACCAGGATACGTGGCAAGATTAGCTGCACTCAACGAAGGTGAGCGAATAGCACAAGCTGGATGTGACACATCCCCGGAAGTGCGGCGAATCGCGGCCGTTCAGGAAAATTCCGAGCCAGCAGAGCCAAGCACTCAGATGCCAAACCAGCGGAGGGAGCCAGCGCAACAGAGAGGCGGAAAGAACCCACCCAACGCAGCTGATGGAGAAATCGCTCATCCTCGTTACTTACCACACGTGGACGTATTGTGCAGTCGATGGTGTTGACCTATGATAATCAGCATCATCGTTCAAATCCTTTAATTGTTGAGTGCTGCATTTGCATAGTAGGCTGATTGACGATTTGAATCAGCAAATAAGATAGAAACAAAATTTCCCACACAAACATATCAAAGTTCGAACACAGCGACCTTTACCTAATAAGGTCAATGCTGGCCTTACAAACACATTAGTCGGCTTGCAGCCCGCGACCCCTCTTTCCAGGCTGCCCCCCATCATCATCCCCACCCCTACCACCCCCAAACTTCCTCTTTGCCTCCTTCCTGTACTTCTCCCTCTTCTCCTCACGACGCCTGTACTTCTGCTCCTCCTCGTCTGCTGCCTTGCGCTTCTCATACTCCGCTCGCTTCTTGCGCGTCGTCTCCCTCCGCTTCTTCACCTGCACAGGAAATATAATAGTGCACAACAAAAAAATGGAAACTAAATAATAATAAAAGAAAACAACCATACAGACTACCACCACGATACCATCACCATCCGTATAGAACATGACGATAACATACTTACCGTGTTAATGTGTTACCGTACTACTGTACCTTTTGGTTCTTGATGGTGTTGAGCTGCTGCACCATAGTGTGCAGCCGCCTCTCCTGAGGCTCCATCACCACTGCCGGCCGCTGCTGCTCCAGGCTCGGTGTTGTGCGCCGAGCCTCGTCCTTAGGCTTGGAAGAGAAGGGCAGAGCAGCCTGCAGCTTCGCGGGAATCTTGAGAGGGTTGAAGGAGCGCGGGCGCCTCTCGATGGGCTGTGAGGGGTTGAGAGAGATGAGAGGGGGTTACAGGAGTTGATGGGGGGTTGAGGGCAGAATGTGTGGAAGCATCTTGAGGGGGTTAAAGGAGTGCGGGCGCCTTTCTATGCGTTGTGAGGGGTTGAGCGAGATGAGAGGGGGTTAGGAGACAAGAAGAGGGGGTTGCGGATGTTGAGGGGGGTAGCGAGCAGAATGCAAGCGGAATGTTTTTCGATTACTCTTGAAACATTCCAAAACTGCCCTGAATGAGCAGCATATTCTCCTTCGAGAAAAATACAGATTTTTGGAATCTTATGCAAAAGGAACTGCACTACCTTGTACTACAGGAGCATTTGTGAAGAGCAAAGTACCTTGTAAAGGGAGTCCTTGTTAACGGGGATGGGCAGCTGCTGCTCCCGCCTGAGCTCCGCCACGGTCTTCATGCCTTGCCACGTGGCGCTTGCTGATTGGAGCAGCGTGCAGACAGGGTTGTATAGCTTGGGCACGGTGACCTTGACCCAGGCGCGCAGGAAGACAATGTCGCTCATCAGAATCTTGTCCTCAAAGGCGCACCTCACACTGCCTTCTGGGCCTTGCCCGTGTTTTAGAGCCTGGTGTTGGGGGGGTGGGGGGGAGGGGGAGGGGGGAGGGGGGAGCAGGGGGCGGGGCAGAGGGGAAAAAGGGGAGGCGGAAGTAGAAGAGTGAGGTAGGAGAGGGGCACTGAGTGACCTTGATACACGGCCATGCCATTGACACCCCACAGCAGCGTGGCTTGGGCACAGTGACTTTGACCCAGGCGCGCAGGAAGACAATGTCGCTCATCAGGATCTTGTCCTCAAAGGCACATCGCACGCTGTTCTCCGGCCCCTGCCCGTGCTTCAGAGCCTGTCCTTCAGGTCCCTGCCTGTGCTTCAGAGCCTGTCCTTCAGGTCCCTGCCCGTGCTTCAGAGCCTGTCCTTCAGGTCCCTGCCCGTGCTTCAGAGCCTGGTGGGGGGGAAAGGAGAAAGGGTGGGGGAGGTTGCGGAGGGGAGAGGGGTGGGGGAGGGGGAGGAGGAGAGAGGGAAGAGGGGAGGGGGAGAACCAGCTAGAGCTTCTTCCAGTCTAGGGTTTCCTGTACTTACACCCACCACCCCATTCCCCCCTGCCGTTACCCACAGGAAACAGGTTTCAACTAGTGCAACAGTGCGCACCTTCTTGATCTGCCCGTGAATGCCGGACACCGTGCGAACAGCTGCCCCTTCGACTCTTGCCACCTCGAGCTGGGAGGAGAACACGTCCTTGATGAATGCGGTGTGATGGCCGGTTGAACCACACCCACACCACACGCACCTTCTTGATCTGCCCGCGAATGCCGGATACCGTACGGACTGCCACCCCCTCGAACCGTGCCACTTCAAGCTGGGAGGAGAACATGTCCTTGATGAATGCGGCGTGACGGAAGATCTTTACGGGCATGCCCACCCACCTCTCTCCCATAACCGAGAATTACCCATTCAGACCAGGATGTACCTTCTTGATTTGCCCTCTGATGCCTGAGACGGTCCGCACTGCTGCCCCTTCAAATCTCGCCACTTCAAGCTGGGAGGAGAACATGTCCTTGATGAATGCGGTGTGACAGAAGATCCTCACCTTTCAAGGATGGGTGACAACGCGACCGACAGTGCACGCACCTTCTTGATCTGCCCGCGAATGCCCGACACGGTCCGCACAGCCGCCCCCTCGAATCGCGCCACCTCGAGCTGGGAGGAGAACATGTCCTTGATGAACGCGGTGTGACGGAAGATCTTCACGGGCGTGCCCACCAGCTTCAGCTTCTTCACCACCTGCGCTGACTGCTGCTGCTCCAACACCACTCCTGTGGCGCTAATGCGGAAGGACGCCTGGGTAAAAAGGTGGTGGAATGGGGTAGAACGGGGTGTAATGCGGTGGAACGGGGTACAGCGGGTGAGGCATGAGGGATCTTCACGGGTGTGCCCACCAGCTTGAGCTTTTTCACCACCTGCGCTGACTGCTGCTGCTCCAACACCACTCCTGTGGCGCTAATGCGGAAGGACGCCTGGGTAAAAAGGTGGTGGAATTGGGTAGAACGGGGTGTAATGCGGTGGAACGGGGTACAGCGGGTGAGGCATGAGGGATCTTCACGGGTGTGCCCACCAGCTTGAGCTTTTTCACCACCTGCGCTGACTGCTGCTGCTCCAACACCACGCCCGTGGCGCTGATTCGGAAGGACGCCTGGGTAGAATGTGGTAGAATGCGATACAACGGGGTAGAACGTGATAGAATGCGGTGGAATGTGGTGAAAAGGGGTGGAACATGACTGATCTTCACGGGCGTGCCCACCAGCTTCAGCTTCTTCACCACCTGGGCTGACTGCTGCTGCTCCAACACCACGCCCGTGGCACTGATTCGGAAGGACGCCTGGGTAGAATGGACGCCTGGGTAGAATGGACGCCTGGGTAGAATGGACGCCTGGGTAGAATGGACGCCTGGGTAGAATGGACGCCTGGGCAGAATGGACGCCTGGGTAGAATGGACGCCTGGGTAGAATGGACGCCTGGGTAGAATGCAATTTGGGAGGCAGCAGTGGCGCCCGCATGACAGCCAGGCAGTTCATGTGCTCTGGGGAGTGCCAGCGGGCACATGACCTATGAGCCTCTCTCTCTCTCCTCTGAATGCGCACCTACCTGCGTGCTGTTGCCACCAGCAGCAGCAGAGGAGGGAGCCAGCAGCCCGGTGTTGGGAGGTCTTGATGAGTGTGGTATCCATCACTCCACACATTCACATACCTGCTTGCTGCTACCACTGGCAGCACCCGAAGAAAGAGCCAACAGCCCAGTGTTGAGGGGCAGCAGCGGCGCCCACATGACGGCGAGGCAGTGCATGTGCTCGGGGGTGTCTTAATGAGTGTGGTATCCATCACTCCACGCATTCACATACCTGCTTGCTGCTACCACTGGCAGCACCCGAAGAAAGAGCCAACAGCACCGTGTTGAGGGGCAGCAGCGGCGCCCACATGACGGCGAGGCAGTGCATGTGCTCGGGCGTGTACTTGATCAGCCAGTGCCACCCATTGCTGTCCTTCATGGCAAATCAATCAGCACCTGCTTGCTCTCACCGACATACCTCGACCCAAGGCGTACCTGCTTGCTGTTGCCCGAAGCAGCACCGGACGACAGTGCCAGAAGACCAGTGTTGGGAGGCAGCAGCAGCGCCCACATGACAGCGAGGCAGTGCATGTGCTCGGGGGTGCACTTGATGAGCCTCTCAGTACACTGACATGCACAGGTCACAGCACGTACCTGCTTGCTGCTACCACTGGCAGCACCAGACGACAGCGCAAGCAGCCCAGTATTCGGGGGCAGCAGCGGCGCCCACATGACAGCGAGGCAGTGCATGTGCTCGGGGGTGTATTTGATGAGCCGGTGCCGCCCGTTGGTATCCTCCATGGCGAACACGGGCACGGACTGGAAGCGCCGCCATCCTGCTGACAGGACCAGGGGGTCGCGCGTTTTGAGGACTTTCCGGTGCCACCGGTGCTTCTTCATCCGCACCTGCAGGGAGCGGGAGTGGAGGGGGAGAGGGGAAAAGGAAGAGGCTTTGAGTGTGGGTTGGCCTTTGGTACTTGATGAGCCGGTGCCGCCCGTTGGTATCCTCCATGCCATGGCGAACACGGGCACGGACTGGAAGCGCCGCCACCCTGCTGACAGGACCAGGGGGTCGCGCGTTTTCAGTACGTTCCTCCGGTGCCACCGGTGCTTCTTCAGCCGCACCTGGAGGGGGAAGGAGGGGGCAGCAGCAGATGACAGAGCCAAAAGTGCAGCGTGAATTCGCCTTGCAGCGCGCGGAACAACAGACGCGGGTACGCCCCTTCGAGGCGCCTCAAAGTTCACCCTCAAGTACCCCAGCGTTTCCTCCGTGGGTGGAACTGCTCCGACAAGGACAGGAACCCGCGGGTCAAATTGCAGCATGAACTCCCCAGGCAGGGAGCGGAACAGCAGGCACAGGTACGCCCCCACAGGGAAGCCCACCCTAGCTCATTTGCCCCTCAGGTTCCCCAATTCATCCCACTCACTCACCCTCAGATATCCGAGTGTTTCCTCTGTGGGAGGCACAGCTCCGACAAGAACAGGCACTCGTGGGTAAAAAATGCAGCATGAATTCTCCAGGTAGTGCACGGAACAGCAGGCACAGGTACGCCCCCGCCCCCACCCCTCTCCCTGGTACATCCCATGCCATGCCACTCACCCTCAGGTATCCGAGCGTTTCCTCCGTGGGTGGAACTGCTCCCACAAGCACGGGAACCCGCGGGTCAAAGTGCAGCATGAATTCTCCCGGCAGTGCACGGAACAGCAGGCGCAGGTACGCGCCCACGGGGAAGCCCTCCATTGCCACGCGGGTAGCCTCGTCCACCTCTGCTAGAGCCGCCTCCGTCCTCTGCTTCCTCGCTTCCAGCTGCTCCTTCAACTGGAGGGCAGACAGGGAGAGGACGGGGAACCATAGACGGCACTTGAGCCTGCGGGACCACTCAGCCTGCCTCCTCGTCCACCTCCGCTAGAGCCGCCTCCGTCCTCTGCTTCCTCGCCTCTAGCTGCTCCTTCAACTGGAGGGATTGTGGGGGAAAAGCGGGGAGGGGCAGAACGGGCGGAGGGAAGTAAGAAAAGGGAGCGTTTTCAGCTGCAGCAGTAACTCTCCCTGCTCGAAATAGTCACACACATACATGATGACGCTCTATTCTTAGTCAACTGAAACACACCTCCATCTAGTCACAAACAATAACATCAAGTAAAGTCAAGTCAAGTCAAGTCAAGTGCCACTCACAATATCAATGTAGTCCTTCTCCTCCGGATCCCTTCCAGGAAACTTCTTGCCTTCGCCCTCCTCCCCTTCCCCATCCTCCCCTCCCTCCTCCTCGTCCTCCTCCCCTCTCGACGTGATTGGATGTCAGGCAAAGAGAAACACCACAGTCGAGAGAAGAGGGGAGTAAGAGAGGACGAGAGGAAGGGAGGAGGTGAAGGAAGGGAAGGGAGGGAAGGGAGGGAAGGGAGGGAAGGGAGGGAAGGAAGATGGGGGAGAGGGAGGAGACCGTAACAGGGGGGGTTGGTTGGAAGGAGATGGTTAAGGAAAAGAACGATTATGTGAGGCGAATCAACACCATTCGGGCGTATTTGAGAAGGCTTTGATACAAAAAAAAAAGGAGAACTGCGGAAACAAAAGGAGCGAGTGTCACTGAAATATAAACTGATGTGCATGACAACAAACTAAAATACGGATTCTGGAATGAGTACGAAAGGGGTGGTAGGAAAGCGTGAGAGAGGGCGTGTGAGAGAAAGCAGGTGAGAGGGCGTGTGAGAGAAAGCAGGTGAGAGGGCGTGTGAGAGGATATTTGGAATCAAAGTTGGCACGCAAAGCAAGCTTCTTCAGCCGCCTCTCCTCTGCCTCTGCCTTCTCCCTCTCCTCCTCACTCATCCTCCCTCCCCCTCCTCCCCCTCCTGCTCCTGCTCCCCCACCTCCCCCCTCCCCTTTCCCCCCAGGTCCAAATTTCTCCCCAGTCTCTAGATCTTCAAAATCGCCAAACACATCATCCTCCTCATCCTCCTCCCCATCCCCATCCTCCTCCCCATCACTCCCCCCGTCCTCTCCCCCGCCTTTCTTCCCCTTAGCTCCCCCCTTGCGCCGCCTCTCACCCGCCTTGGACCAGTTCCCAGTCACAAACCGGTCCCTGAGGGATTCGACCACCTCGGGATCGTCCCACTGCGCCAGGTTCAATGCATCTGGACGCACTCGCACACAGTCCTCCGCATCTATATCATCAGTGAGTGCAGCTTGGGAAGCGGAGGAAGACCCGTCCTGCTGCTTCCTCCTTGGCCGAAAAAGCTCCTCTTCCTCCTCTTCCTGCTCCTCATCCTCCTCCTCCTCACTTCCCTCACCACTAGCTCCTATCCCAAAGCCTTTTCCTTTTCCTTTCATGCCACCGCCGCCCTTCTGCCCGTAAACCAGCTCCATCAGGCTCAGCTTTCTCGAAAACATTTTGGCTGCCCGAGCAGCCAAGCCTTCCTTCCACTTGGCCGCAGCCTCCCCTTTCTCGGCCTGCAAAACATCTTTTTTCAATCCCACTACCTTCCCTCCTTCCTCCTCTTCACCGTCCTCCTCCTCCTCCTCCTCCTCCTCCTCATCCTCATCCTCCCCATCATCATCATCTTCCTCAGAGTCTGTTCCCTCATTTTCCACGGCCTCCCTATCAGCCCACTTCTCTAGCTGCTGCCTCGTTGGCTCTTTCACACCATCCTCCTCATCCTCCTCCTCCTCCTCTTCGTCTTCATCCTCTTCCTCCTCCTCTTCCATTTCCTCATCCATTTCATCTTCCTCCTCCATTGCACCTCCCTCCTTTCCTTCCTCTTCTAGCTCCCACCCCTCTTCATCCTCCTCTCCATCATCCTCATCCTCCTCCTCATCTTCCTCCTCCTCGTCCTCCTCCTCAGCATCATCACCACCAAACACTACAGCACGCCTCATCCTTCCCTTCGAATCCCTCCTCCTTTCCTCCTTCAGTCCCGTTTCCTCCTCCCCCTCCTCTCCCTCATCCTCCTGTTCCTCTCCCTCGCTCTCATCCTCATCACTCCCCTCTCCATCCTCCTCCACCCCACCCATCTCCTCCTCTCTCCCGCCCTCCACCTCGCTCACATCTCGAATCGGGGCCGTCCATTTGAACAGCGAGATCGCGCTCGATTTCAGCTTATCATCAACTGCCACGTCAGCAGCCTGCAGCGTTTTCACCATCTCCTCTCCCTCATCCTTCTGCTTTCCACCTCCCCCCTTCCCTTTCCCTCCTTTCCCTTCCCCCTCCCCCTCCTCCTCTTCATCCTCCTCCTCCTCATCATCTTCCTCTCTTTTCCCCCCCACACCCCCCTCTCCCTCATCTGACCACTCCTCGTCCTCCTCTTTCCCTCCTCCTCTTTCCTTCTCCTCAACCTTAGAATACTGCACCTGATGATCCGGAATATTAATATAAACCGCATCTTTATCGTACAGTATATCCCCTATATCAGCCATCGGCGCATAAAGCAGCTTCTCCCGCTCGTTCAAACTCCGCTTCTTTTTCGCGTCGGGCAGCGGGCAAGGGTCGGGCAGCTGCGTAATACTCTCCACTGCCACGTCACCCACCCCAGCAATATGCACCTTAAAGCCCTGCTTCAGATTGCAACCGCGCAAGTAACCGTAAATCGCGACCGTCCGATCACATTTAGGGTTTCTCCGAACATCCTCCGTCTCCGTCAGATCTTCCACCCGATCAGCCACCACATAGCCATGGGCTGTTCTCCAGGAGAGGGGACGGAACTTGGCAACTGAAATGAACCGAGCCAGATTCAGCACCTCGCGCTTGGGGTACCTGCAAGTGGTATGGCAGGAGGGCGCGGGGATACGAGTCCAGCAGCAGGGTGAGGAGGGAGAAGTGGAAAAGGTGAGTGAGCAGAGGGGGCACAGGCAGAGCAGCCAGGCCCTTGACTTCACCTCATTCCACCCGGTCAGCCACCACGCAGCCGGGAGCTGTTCACCAGGAGAGCGGGCGGAACTTGGCGACTGAGATGAAGCACGCCAGATTCAGCACCTCCCGCTTGGGGCACCTGGGGGTTGTATGAATGAGCGGGGGACAAGAAGTTGAGATCTTCCACCCGATCGGCCACCACGTAGCCATGAGCAGTTCGCCAGGACAGAGGCCTGAACTTGGAGACTGAAACAAACCGAGCCAGATTCATCTGCCGAGAGAGAGGCCAAGGAGACTCATCGGCCGAGAGAGAGGCCAAGGAGAATCATTGGCCGAGAGAGAGGCCAAGGAGACCCATCTGCCGAGAGAGAGGCCAAGGAGACTCATCGGCCGAGAGAGAGGCCAAGGAGAGTCATCGGCCGAGAGAGAGGCCAAGGAGACCCATCTGCCGAGAGAGAGGCCAAGGAGACTCATCTGCCGAGAGAGGGGCCAAGGAGACTCATCGGCCGAGAGAGAGGCCAACGAGACTCATCGGCCGAGAGAGAGGCCAAGGAGACTCATCGGCCGAGAGAGAGGCCAAGGAGACTCATCGGCCGAGAGAGAGGCCAAGGAGACTCATCGGCCGAGAGAGAGGCCAAGGAGACTCATCGGCCGAGAGAGAGGCCAAGGAGACTCATCGGCCGAGAGAGAGGCCAAGGAGACTCATCGGCCGAGAGAGAGGCCAAGGAGACTCATCGGCCGAGAGAGAGGCCAAGGAGACTCATCGGCCGAGAGAGAGGCCAACGAGACTCATCGGCCGAGAGAGAGGCCAAGGAGACTCATCGGCCGAGAGAGAGGCCAAGGAGACTCATCGGCCGAGAGAGAGGCCAAGGAGACTCATCGGCCGAGAGAGAGGCCAAGGAGACTCATCGGCCGAGAGAGAGGCCAACGAGACTCATCGACCGAGAGAGAGGCCAAGGAGACTCATCGGCCGAGAGAGAGGCCAAGGAGACTCATCGGCCGAGAGAGAGGCCAAGGAGACTCATCGGCCGAGAGAGAGGCCAACGAGACTCATCGGCCGAGAGAGAGGCCAACGAGACTCATCGGCCGAGAGAGAGGCCAAGGAGACTCATCGGCCGAGAGAGAGGCCAAGGAGACTCATCGGCCGAGTGGTGGAACAGCTTGGGCCCGTTGTAGGTCTCCGCTCAGAAGCAGTGCTTGAGTCTCCCCTTGGTCTTCTTCAGCTTGCTGCTGTGATGCCCTCTCAAACATGCATACCGAGCCTCACCTGCCGTGAATGAGCCCTGACAAGTAGAACAGCTTGGCTCCATCGTAGATCTCGGTCCAGAAGCGGTGCTTGAGGGTCTTCTTGGTCTTCCTGAGCTTGCTCCTGTGACCCCTCTCGAACATACATGCACGCACAACCCATGAGTAATGATAGAAACCCCTGGTGGCACTCACCTGCCGTGAATGAGCCCCGAGAGGTAGAACAACTTTGCTCCATCGTAGATCTCGGTCCAGAAGCGGTGCTTGAGTGTCTTCTTGGTCTTCTTGAGCTTGCGCGGGTCTCTGAAGCCGTCCAGGTGCGTCAGCACGCCCATGACCTTGGGAAAGCCGTGCACCTGCAGCATGTTCAGAAACTCAAAGGTCTCCTGTAAGTGATGAGGGCGGGAGGGTGGAGAGGGGAGAAGGGAGGAGGGCACGATGGGACATAGAGAGAGGGGACGGGGAAAGGAGTCGGGAAGGTAAGTAAACAAGCTTGCGCGGGTCTCTCAAGCCATCCAGGTGCGTCAACACGCCCATGACCTTGGGGAAGCCGTGCACCTGCAGCATGTTCAGGAACTCAAAGGTCTCCTGTGATGGTGGGGACAGAGAGAGACAGAAAGAGACAGAGTTTTGGGGTAAGAGGGATGGGTTGGGATGGGAATGCAGAGACCACGAGTTGAATGGGAAACGTCAGCACGCCCATGACGTTGGGGAAGCCGTGCACCTGCAGCATGCTCAGGACCTCAAAGGTCTCCTGTGATGGTGGGGAGGTGAGGGAAGAGTGAGGAGAGAATGGAGTGAACGGGTGAGGGAAGCAGAGGGCGCCAGGTTGGGGTGTGGTGGGAGGATCAGCACGCCCATGACCTTGGGGATCACTTTTGAGAATTCTCAAAAGTCACGCCCATGACGACGTGTAAACGGAAGTGTTTTGAGACGTCTCAAAACACTTCTGTTTGCCCATGACCTTGGGGAAGCCGTGCACCTGTAGCATGCTCAGGAACTCGAAGGTCTCCTGTAAGGGAAAGGGGGACAGAGAGCGAGAGAAAGAGGAATAGCCTCAAAGCCAAAGCTACCATCGAAGAGCAGCAGCACGAGGTCTTAGACACCCCTACAACCCACACCACAGCAAGCACACGGACATGCGCTCACACACACGTACATGCACCCGTGCACACCACCCTCCATTTCAAAGCCGCAGCTGCCGTCAATCAGCAGCAGCACGATTTTTGAGGCGCCTAAAAAACTGTCAATCAGCAGCCGCACCAGGTCTGCACAGTCTCTCACACCACCCACAGGCAGCACACGCACGCACGCACACACGCGCGCGCGCGCACACACACACACACACACGCGCGCGCGTGTACACGCACCATCTCGAAGCCGAAGCTGCCATCGATGAGCAGCAGCACGAGGTCTGCAAACTTGGCCGCATCGAGCATGGCGTGCACGCTGCCGCTGCACTCAATGAAGAGCAGCCGCCGCTTCTTGCCTGGAGGGGTAAGTGGGAGAGAGGGCGTGAGGAGGAGAAGGTAGGACGGGTAAGAGCATCGAGCATGGTATGGTAGCAAGCATGCCCGCATCCAACATGGCATGCACGTTGCTTTCCCTCACAATGCCGCTGCACTCTATGAACAGCAGGCGCCGCTTCTTTCCCGAGTATTGGGAGGGAAAGGCGGTAAAACGGCAGAATGAGGCAGGGAACCGGGGGCAATGTAGCAAGCATGCCCGCATCCAACATGGCATGCACGTTGCTTCCGCACTCTACAAACAGCAGCCAACGATTCTTGAGGTGTGACAACCCACCTGAGACGACAGTGATGGGTCCCTTGACGTCTGGAATGTTGTGCTTGGTGTAGTGCTTTATCAGCGAGCGGATGAGCGTCGTCTTGCCCACCTGCCATACAGGGGCGGATTAGAACACAGAGAAAGGATATGAATGAGTTTCAGGGCGTCTCAAATCCAGAGACAACAGATACAAGGCTCTTGTCTCTAGCGAGCGGTAGTGCCTCCACTGCCAGCCCGTGGCAGCTTCTGCTTTTGAGAATTCTCAAAAGTGATTTCAATATAGCTAGCATAATGCCTCCACTGCCAGCCCGTGGCAGCTTTTGCTTTTGAGAATTCTCAAAAGTGATTTCAATGTAGCTAGCATAATGCCTCCACTGCCAGCCCGTGGCAGCTCTTGACGCGACTCCAACCAAGCACCAAAGAGAGACAACCGTAACCGTTACAGGGTTCTTGACTTGACCATGCGTAGTGCCTCCAATGCATGTCCGTGGCAGCAGCACTTGGCACGTGGATGCGATGCACTCGAGCAACCATGCTTTTTGAGTCGACTCAAAAGCAGACTTGGCACGTAGATGCACTCGAGCAACCACTCACCTTGGGGGGACCCTGCACCAGCACCACGAACGGTGGTGGTTCCAGTGCCTGTGCGCGCGTGGCAGCAGCGCTGGGCGCATGCATGCATGCGCCGCTGCTGCATGTGCACCACAGCCTTTCATAAACACACTCTCACACACAACAAACACCACAGCAAATCACTCACCTTGGGAGGACCCTGCACCAGCACCACGAAAGGAGGTGGTTCCAATGCCTGTGCGCGCGTGGCAGCGGCACTGGGCGCGTGCATGCGCGTCCCTTATTCTCACCTTGGGAGGACCCTGCACAAGCACCACGAACGGAGGTGGTTCCAGCGCCTGTGCGCGTGTGGCAGCAGCACTGGGCGCGTGCATGCGCCGCTGCTGCAGCTCCACCCGCCTCGCCACCTGTAGCTTGGCTCGACGCGACGAGCGGAAAGCAAACGCCTGGCAGGTGGGGAAGAGTTACAGGGGAGAGGGAGCGGACATGGGGGGAGGGGAGGGAGAGAGAGGATACAAAGCTTTAGGACACCAGGGTAGAAAGGAGGGAAGGGAAGGCGCAGCTGCTGCTGCTGCTGCAGCTCCCCCGCCTCGCAATCTGCAGCTTCACTCGGCGGCGCGACGAGCGAGCGAAAATGTAAACGCCAGGCAGGTTTAAGCGAGAGCCAGCAGCAAACAGAAGGTCAAACGGTGTCTGCTGAGGAGGTTGAAAACTCAGGGTACAGGGTACAAGGTTTAAGCACGAGGCAACTTCCATCTGTAGTAGCCAGGTTGCTTGTGGTAGACACGAACGCATAAGGACGAACGTTGCGACGTAGCCATTGCGGGGCGTGGCACGTAATCACAAGGTAAATCGAACCCTCTCTCTCTCCTGGGCTGAGCATACAAACCCCGGGTTATAACATACTACCCCGACATAAGTCTATTCCAGTCTTCGACTAAGCCTGGAATCGTCTTACTCGCGAGCACTCGCGAGCTCTTATCCGTCCTCACTCCGCATGATGCTATCAAACCTGATTCTATTCCTCCTCGCATGCTTCGAGGTACTAATGCACGTGTCCCTGAGGTAGCTGCTTAGGTGCTTACTCGGGGGTTCTCGCGTTCCTCCGCGTCGTCGTCCACGCCGCGTTTCTTCTTATCTTTCTCCTTCTAAACCCAAAATCTCCCTCTTAGCTAACAAGTTGGTGCTTACGCGCGGGTTCTCGCGTTCCTCCGCGTCGTCGTCCACGCCGCGTTTCTTCTTATCCTTCTCCTTCTTGCGCTCCGCCGCCGGCCCTGACCGCGCTGCGCGATGACTCTTCTTATCCGCGTCCTGCAACGACACGGACGAGCCACCGCCGCCACCCGCGGCGGCAGCAGCGGCTGCCATCGCCTTCCCCGCGCGTCCTCCAGGAACAACGTCTGAACGTGCCATGGTGTCAATGAGAGATCACAAAACATGTTTCATGATAGGTTCCATTCTACGTCCGCTCAAGAATTATCCGTCCACCTGGAAGGCATGCCGATTTAGCTCAGTGGTAGAGCGCGTGGCTTTTAACCACGTGGCCGTGGGTTCGATCCCCACAATCGGCGTAAAGAGCAAGTACATGCTTGAAGGTGTGTGGATTTTCCATAAATTTTTAGGACGAGTTGTCCAGGAAACCACATGGCTCAAAACGGTTCTATTGAGTTTTTTTAGCGTTTACGAATTGCGCAGTGCGGTACTCTTGAACGATGTTGTCTTCAACGGTGTTTTGAAAAACAATGTTCCACACCCTGAGATCCATAACCTATCCTGCTTTTCAATTCCACCTTCTCCTACCCCCTAAAAGTCGTTGTTACTCTTAACAATCTGTTGGTGGTGTACCTCTTCTTGCCTCCATAGTCAAACCCCCTTCCTTCTTAACTTTCTCGACCTCGCTCTAGCCTAGCTCCTAAGCTACTAAGCAAAGCACAATTTTGACATGGTATCAAGGCCTTAGGCTTACGCCACTACGATCCTCATATGGCGCCTGCCTCGCTAACCTCGTCGTACAGTACCACGATTCCATCGTCGCTGCCGCACTGACTCGCCACGCTGGCCCTGCTTGCCTCGTCGCGACAGCGAGATATGCGCAGCGCTTCATCAGCTCCATCGCGCCCTCCTGTAGACTCGTCGCGCCCCAGCAACGGCCTTGTCGTGACCCTAGAAGCGCCCCCTGTTGTGCCCTAGAATCGACCCTGCCGGCCCCGTCGGCCCACTCCCGCATTGCCCCATCGACCCCGCTGTTTCGGTGCCTGCAGCTACTGCTTGCTGCTTCCACAACTGCAGTTGTCGTGCCTGTTGCTGCCACGCCTTCGCAGTTGCACTTCCACCTGCCGCACCTGCGCTTGCAGCTGTTATGCCCCATTTCAAATATTCGTGCTGATCCGTCGTCCCCGCTCCTCCAAAGTCCCTCCTCTGCTATGTTATTGTCCTCGCACATAGCTCCGAAAACGGTCGCATACGCTCGCTCACCAGCTCAAAGGTGTCCGCCTCGCACGCGTAAAACCGTGGCAGCGCCTGCAACCTCTGGATGCATGTGCCGCAATGGCACAGCTTGTCCTGCACCAGCCTAACTGTCGCCTCACCTTTTTTAGTGGGGGTCGACCGTCTCAGCTATATGTTCCCCCCCTGCTATAAATTCGCAAAAGAGACATCAACAATGGAAATCAAACCCTTCTCTGTGTCGCAACAGGTCAGGTATGGAATGCGGGAGGGGGTCTCTGTGCGTCCGGCCAGCCTCTGCTGCTACGCTGGTTGCTGCCCTGGCTGGCCCCTCTGTGCCCCCTCTCCGGTCGTCTCTCTCCTCCAATCCTCTCCTCCACCCACCCACCCTATCCCCCCCTTCTCTCCCCATTGCCATCCTTCCCAACCCCCTGGCCTATCCCGACTACTTCTCTCGCTCCGTGACCTTCACCTCCCAACCACTCGCTCCTCTTGTACATGTGTCCCGAATCTGCTGCTCTCACCCTTGCCCCTGTCCTATCCGAGACTGAGCCCGAAGGTGGTTCTCCCCGAGGCCACGACCCCTGCTGCTCAATCCTTTCCTCCCTGACTGGGCTGATCCTTCTACCGCCCCCTTTGCCCTCCAACCCTTCTCCTAGCCCGGCCTCGCAGCTGGCGATGTCCCTATGACGCCCCTCCACCCGACTATCGCGCCTCACCCAGCGGCCCCGTCCCTTAGCACTCGTTCCGAGCGTTTTTCTTCCACCGGGTCACGTGGCTGCGCTTCTCTGGGCCTATTACATAGTTAGCAAGGGCCTGGGAGGGTTGCGAGCATCATTAGTCATCGGCGCTCGCGAATGAAGAGTGCCTGCTGCACGTCCTGTATATGTGCGGATCCCTTCCGCGTTTTGAGGTTAGAAGCGCTCGTTCCGATTGCTACTCTTCCACCGGGTTACGTGGCTGCGCTTCTCTGGGCCTATTGCAAAGCCAGCAAGGGCGTGGGAGGGTTGTGAGCATCATTAGTCAATGGCGCTTGCAAATGAAGAGCGCCTGCCGCACTTCCTCAACATGTGCGGATCCTTGCGCGTTTTGAGGGTGGAAGCGTTCGTTACGAGCGTTTTTCTTCCACAGGGTCATTTGGCTGCGCTTGTCTGGGCCTATTGCCAAGCCAGCAAGGGCGTGGGAGGGTTGCGAGCATCATTGGTCATCGGCGCTGTCGGAATCTTGCAACTCTACTCTGCCACGTCTTGTTTCTACTCTTTCTCTTGCCTCTAGTGGGCCCTGCAGCACCGTCTTTCCGAGTGGTGCCCTCCTCTGAGCCTAAGTGATGTCTGTATTTCTCTGCTACTCCTCCCCTTGTTCCTGTGCCTTCTCCACTTAAAAAGTCCTACAACACAGCCTGTATCTAACCAAGAAAACCCTAGCTCGGCTGACTGGAAAACAGAATGTTGGGGTCTGTATTGCTTGCGGCTTTGGTTTCACGTGCTCAGTTCGTTGGGGGTAGACGGAATAGTAAGCATGAGTATGAAAACAATCACGCAAGCAACCCTTCCCCTGCCTGCCTATTTCTTAAGTATCTGCGTTGGGTTACCGTTGTGCTAACGGATCCCTTCTCGCCCGCCAACTCTCTAATGTTTCGGTTGTGTCGCTTCAACCACCCCGCTTTGCTAGTCATCCTCCCTACTGTACTGTTCTACATTTCCTATTCGTCATGATGATATATCTACTGCTCTACGCACAGATTAGAATCGTGACAGCTGTCGGAATCTTGCAACTCTACTCTGCCACGTCTTGTTTCTACTCTTTCTCTTGCCTCTAGTGGGCCCTGCAGCACCGTCTTTCCGAGTGGTGCCCTCCTCTGAGCCTAAGTGATGTCTGTAGTTCTCTGCTACTCCTCCCCTTGTTCCTGTGCCTTCTCCACTTGCCCCCTCCGCGGTTGTCTGCTGGCTCCTGCCGACTGCCGCTGGAACTTTTAGTCTCCTGTCTGTCTTGCCGCGCCCTCCACGGTCCGCCCTCTTGCTCGCGCCACATTGGTGCAGTGATCCGTTCTCCTCTGCCCTTGTGCCCCCACCAGCACCACTACCCCAGAGTCCTTGATCTCCTTAACCTTCCAGCGCTCCGTACTCAGCCCGATGTCCATGAGGTCGTGTTTCGCCTGCTTCAGGTATACTTCTTCCCCTGCTCCTAAGGTCTTATCCTTCTTCCCCTCTTGCCTTTCCCCTCTCTTCTTGTACCTCTGCGCGTCTCTCAGCTGCGCCACGTGTAAGTTTTCTAGTGCTGCTGGTAAAAGCTCCCTCAGGTACCTCGCCCTCGCCTCCGCCAGCCCCACCCACTCTTCTTCGTTGGCCACTTGCACGGACCCTGTGAGAATTCTTGGCGCATCCACAGGTAACACGGGGTCTCTCCCTAAGAGTAGGTAATATGGCGAGAGGTCTCGCAACGCCGCTTGCTTACTGAATCTGTAGCCTGCCACCACCCACGGGAGCCGTATGTCCCAATCCCTCTTAAACTGCTCCCCGTATGCCCTTAGCCCCCTCTTCACTGTCTGTACGAAGCGCTCTGTGAGTCCATCGCTCTGCGGGTGATATCTGGAGGTCCTCCTGTGAGTAATCCCCGTGGACTGCAACAGCTTATCGAACTCTCCCATGAACTCTGTCCCTTGGTCGGTTAGCACCTCCCCGCATGCCCCAAATCTAGTCAGCACCTGCTCCTCGAACGCTTCGGCTATCTTAGCCGAGTTCTTGCTGGGGAGAGCCTTCACCTCGACCCATTTGCTGCCATGCTCGATCATGATTAAGATGTACCGCTTCCCCCTTCTGCTCAGCGGCATCTCCCCAGCCAGGTCCAGAGACCATCGGAACCCTATGCCGTGAATAGGCAGCGACTGCAGCTCCTTCCTCCCTCGCGCCAGTTCCGCTTTGTTCCGACTGCACAGCTCACACTTGGCCACCCACTCTCTAATATCTCTCCGCATCCCTGCCCACCACCATCCTGTCTCCACTAGCTGCGTGGTGCGCAAACTTCCGTAGTGCCCCAGCTGCCGATGAACCCTGCTAATAATTTGTTCCCTCTCCTGTGGCCGTGGGACCAGCTTCCATCCGTCCCGGGTGTTCTTCTGCAACTGCTCCTGGTGCCAGCGGTAGTGAATTCCTCGGGCTCGGGCCCTCTCGCTGGTCGCAGTATCCTCACCCGTCCTCCCTTGCACCCAGTCCAGCACTTCCTGGTCTTCCCAGACATCAGCCGGCCCTGTCCTGTTTCCTCGGCTGGCCCCTTCTGTATCTAATTCTCTCGCTAGTGCTACTAGGCATGCCGAGGGGCGATGCATAGGCGGGTTCCGTGACAGCCCATCTACATGTTGCATGGTTTTCCCTGCTCTGTGCCGAATGGAGAAATCATATTCCTGTAAGCGCATGGCCCATCGTGCGTTCCTCCCTGTTAGCGCTTGATTGGTCATCAGCCAAGTCAAGGGTTGGTGATCCGTCACTAGCTCGAACTGCCTAGGTACACTCGGAAGTGAGTGATAGCCCATACGGCTGCCAGCCCTTCGCCCTCGTACGAGCTGTAGTTAGCCTCGGCGGGGTTACAACTTCGGCTGGCGAAGGCGACTACCTTCTCTTCTCCTTCCCGCTTCTGACACAGGATCGCCCCCATACCCGCGCTACTCCAGTCGGTGTACAGCACAAATGGGTCCTCTGGGCTTGGCAGCGTCAGCACCGTGGCCGTCTTCATAGCTTTCAGCAGCACCTGTAGTGCCCCTTGCTCGGCTTCTCCCCATTCCCATTGCTGATCTTCCCTCAGTAGTCGATTTATGGGCGCGGCGGTCTTACTGAAGTTCGGGATGAACTTCCTGTAGTAGTTGAGGAATCCGAGCACGGCTCTCAAGGTGCTCCTGTCCTTCGGCTGAGGCACCCGGTCCAGAACCTCCACCTTCGCTTGCTGAATCCCCAGCTGCCCTCCTTGCACTTCGA